ATAAATAAAATATGATTTTTAGATGTAAAACTATTATTAATGTATTATTGTTATTATTAGAATTTATTTGCGTTTAGAATTTATGATTTTAATTATTTACGTTTTGCTTCCTTCTGGTTCTGTCTGACTGAATGACCCGGTTCTGAAGCAGACCCCCCATCCCTCCCCTACTGAGTCAGTCCAGGAGTTCTGCTGCGTCTTTTTTTTTTTCCTTCGTCCTAAACCTTTTTACTGTTTATCAAAAACTTGGAGCCTCGGTCAGAAAAAAAGACAAGGGTTTTATATTTCTGGTCCGAGAGGAGGAAAGAAATGGTGGACTGAGGTCGACTGAGGTACGTTTATTTTATTTTTTTCGCCACGGGACGTGTTTCCTCCTCGCGACGCGGGGCACATAAAATCAGACGTCTTTTAAAAAAAATACATTGTGGCAAATACTTTTTTATCATGTCTTCAGATCTACTTGGCCTAACAACACTTTAAAAACTGGTTTAAAGTTCGAAGTCTCTGCTTTTCACTTGAGAGTCTCAGAGAGGGCGGACCTACAGGTAGTTTTTTCTTTCCTCCCAAACTTTATTTAGCTCAGCCAGCATTGACAATGCTCTGCGGGTGACGTAAACGGCTCCGCAACATGGCGAGGGACGCTTAAAATTCGGGATACAACGAATCGATAATGAAACTCGTTGCCAACGCTTTTAATTATCGATTTTTATCGATTTTATCGATTCGTTGTTGCAGCCCTAGTTGAAACTGTCTTCAAAGACTTGTCTTTCAAAATAAAGTCCATGTGTAGCATGTGTGTACACAAATGCTTCATGCTACATGTTTCCATCTGCTTCCCAAACAGAATGATACATTCTGACAGCATTTGTGTAGAAATAAATCCATATATTTATTAAAATGGCTGCAATTTTGACATTATTCCGACAAATTATCTCGCCTAAAATTGTCTTATTTTGAAAATACGGATGTTGTGCTAGTTTCTTTTCCTGTTGGTGCAATGTAATCTTTAAAAATTGACTCCGGCGCAGCTTTGGCCTCCGGCAAAAATAGGCTCTGTTTTAATTTTGCCAGATCGCTGTCCGCTCACTGCCACCATGCGCAGCCAGTGTAAACACTCTCATTCATTATAATGGGTGCGTATTTGCTGCGGAGGACGGACTGGAGCGGAGCCAGAACGCATGTAGTGTAAATTAGCGGTTAGGCAGCCATGCTGAGGAGCAAAACGACAGGTGGGGACCAGAAATGCCTTTGTGGACCAGAAATGCCTCTGGGATGTGTCTTTAGGCCGAGCTTCCTCAT